AAAATGATCTCCCTGATCCAGTCCCATGAACCCGCCCAAATGGAACCGGATTTTCTAGCTGTGTATCAAACATGCTGATCTCTTCTTAGCCTTCACTCCCTTGCTTAATCCCCTCAAATGTGAGCAATGGAAATACTCAGGTCGTCTGCTCCCCCTATTCTCTTCTGTTTATCGGCGACAGTCTTCCGATACGTTCAAGGAGAAGACCGAGTGTTTTGAAGGCGACTCAGAACGTGCAGCCGTGGAAGCCGTCGGAGATTTTACTCCCTTGGGGCCTGCTAGCGTGATAGTGGCTGAATTTTCTGTCCCCAAGGATTGGCCATCCGAGCGCAATGGCCACCATGGGCGCCCGGTTGGTTGATCACCCTCACCACAGCAGAGTGTGGACGCCTAGGTACATACCTACTTTCGTTGACCAGACATGGTCCTTAGAACACATTGATATGGTGATCTCAGACTTGACTGAGACACAACCGAAACTCCCGAGATATTACCCTTTCTGGATCTCTCGGCTCATGAGCAAGCTTGATAACCATGCTCCGAGTATGATGTCTTCGGGAGTACTCGCCTGCTGTGTGGAGGAAAACGCATGGCTGCAAGGACTTTCAGACATCTAATAAGAAGAGATAAAGTATTGGGTTCGCATGACATCGTGATCGCACCTATCAATGGTATCCGCATCTCCAGACCCGAGCAGGGTGTTATGTAGGTTCACTTTAAGAGATGGGTTCGCATCTCGCTCCAAGCGTGCTGTCACAACACCCGTTGCGACTCAACTGGACAACTTGGGTTTTCAGAACATAGCCGCCCTCTCCATCACACCAATCACAGAGCCTCGCGCGATGACATCAAGCTTCGTTTCTGGACAAGGCATATCAAGCCCACTCAGAGTCAACAGACAAAGGCCAGAGCACTCTCAACTGTCCAAACCAGCAACATATGATACAACCGATAGTTATCGTACACACGGCGCCCAGAGGTGGCAGGCCACGAAAATGCTCCTTTCAGACATACCATGAATCCACAACATCTCTCGTCTATCTTGCATTCTTTTTGTTCTCCTCCACTCTCATCTTGTGTAACGTCTCCGCCCGTCTCCTCTCACCACCATACACTTTCCTCCCTCGCTTATGCTCCCACAACCCTTCAACGGCCTTGACTGTGACACCACTTCCATGCGTCCCTGCAATGGGATGTGCCTGCTTGCCCTTGATAATGTATCCATTTTTCAACCTAAATCCATACGGTTTCTTCAAGTCCGCGGTCGTCTGCCCAGGGAGTAACCGATACGTGGCGGACCCATTGGGCACGTTGACGATCAACTTCTGCATCCCGGGACTCCTTCCGATGGTGACTGGGCCTGAGACAGGATCTCCTGTTGCGGGATCCTTTTTTAAACTGGGCACTTCGACGACTCGTAGCTCCGCAACGCCGTCCTTGACATACTGAAAGTCGCCTCCAATCCCGAACTCCCCTTTCCGGAACTTCTCTCGCCAACGTAATAGGTATCTCCGTGTGCGGGGCGGTTCAATGCCTCGTGTTTTCATCTGATTCGACGTCAAGGTGAAGAGTTCCTCCCAGGACTCGATCTTGCCGGCATGTTTGGAGAGTTCACGCCCGATGAGCTTGAGGAAGGTGGGCACGTCGGGGACAAAGGGCGTAGGGGCAGGAATGTAGCCGTCACCGGGTAGACCGCGGTGCAGCTGTCGTCGGCATGGGGGGCAGACGTAGGATTGCGGGATTATGAATTTCGATGCCGCTATCGAGGGTCGGAGGAGAGAAGCAACCAGCGAGACTGCTGCTTGCGGCTGTCGCGTGATCATTGCTGCCGCCGTTACTGCACAGATTTCCTCCTTTTCTGGTCCCTGTACGTCAAGGATGACGATTCGGGCGACGCTCAATGGGGTTCAGAGCTTCGTGGTTGCGGGTGATGAAGGGCAAGAATTATTAGACGGTTGGGGCTCATTGGGACGCGATGTCTTGCGAGCCGCATAATTGAGTTCGGTGCCAAGGGCGAGGAAAAGTTGCTGGAAGGTGGACCTTGCCTGATTAGGAAGAATTGTCACGCCGCCCTGTGGTAGTCATACTCCGTCCAAGCCATTGGAGTCGAAGATCAGGCATTGCAATTTCAAGAGACAGGACGCGAATACTAGCCAGATAAACAAGGAGCGGACATACACTCAACCAACATGTACAAAATAATGTGATCAAAAGAACACTAGCATGCGAAAGCCGTTTTGGGAATTACATTCGACTAGGAACTCGCGTGGTGCCTAATTGGTACTTCCTATAAAGAGGTATTCAGAAAACTCGATCAGCTTTGGTCCGGACATTTCAAGGCCGTCGTAGAGATCGAAATGATTCTTCCCTTCGACAACAACCCGCCTCTTTGGGCTCTTTTGCAGCGCCGCATGAATGGGAAGCGAGCTGACAACCATGGAGTTCGGGGCTGACAGTCACAGCTCTGAGGATTTGATAACAACGGTGGGCTTTTGGACCGTGGACAAACCTGGGCGGCGCGCTGAGGTCTATTGGGCTTGTTCTGTCTTCGATGGCAGTGCTCGTGGGCTTCGCAGCGCTCTGCGCTTCACACTCAATGATGGCTTGAAAGAGAAGCATGTGAATCCGCATCATGATGTCGCAGATCTGGAATAGAGAATGTTCATACAATTGCATGCAACGCATGATTTGAGGTGTTCGAATATCGTCACAAGATTGTCATTGTTCGTGAAGGCCGTATTGTTGGCGGTTCCTTTTCTCACTCTTGAAGAACAAGGGACAGAGTGACGCCGATGAAGGCCATGGAGGCCATGAGTTAGCTGCAAGAAAAGATGAGAACAAGTTGTCAACGACAGACAGCATATATGGTTCCAAATGGTTCCCATTAAAGCGGCGTGAGATTCCACGTGAGGGCCATATGCCAAGCATTTGGAGCCTCAGTCTTGAAGTTCTTCTCGGCTGCTTTCAACGACATCCTTCTTGCTTTCGACACGGTTCAGGCCAGATGGATAGATTGACTATGTAAGGAGTTCCTCTCTTTACGATTTCGCAGTGTATCGCGACCTCTGTCCCACTATTTCTGCGGCTAGGATCATGAGATAAACCGATATCAAAAAGAGTTTCACCTTGGATAAGCACTCCTCCGCCTCGAGCACTCAAAAGCACCTTTCCTCCACTTCCAACGGTCCCTGGATCACAACATGGCACCCTCAACAAACGCGCCGTCGCCTCTGATGCCGAGGTCACCTTCAGACATAAATGCAAACTTGTCACCATCAAGAGCTAAGTCGCTTGCCATGAGGAAATCAATATCCAAACCGCAATCTTCAGCACCGGGCCCACCGGCCCAGAGACCGCCTCCGGACTTCGACATGGCTGAGCAAATGAATGAAGATATCAGCAACAAGTATGTCAAAGGTCCGTTTACCTCATTGGCTTTCCAGGTCTTTTCTGAGTCTGCTGACCAGCTCCACAGGGAAAAAACTGGGCGAGGGAACTTACGCTATTGTCTACAAAGGACATTTGAGATCAGATCCGACCAGACTTGTGGCCATCAAGAAGTTCAAAGTTGACCCTTCGCAGCAGCGGGAAGGGCTCAATGTGGATACGATACGCGAGATCAAATACCTCCAAGAAATCTCACATCCAAGCATCGTTGCCTTGTTAGACGTATTTTCCTCCAAAGACCAAAACATCAACATGGTCATCGAGTACTTCCCTAATGGCAATCTAGAAGAGCTCATCCGTGACAAGACAGTGAGTTACGGCGCAGCCGATGTCAAGGCGTGGATGGGCATGCTGTGCCGCGCGATATACTATTGCCACTCCAACTTCATCTTGCATCGAGATATCAAACCAAACAACTTGCTTATTGCCGCAGATGGAGAGGTGAAACTGGCAGATTTCGGTCTAGCGCGATCGTTTGGTGACCCGAGGTATCAGATGACGTCTGCAGTAATCACGCTCTGGTATCGTCCCCCAGAATTGCTGTTTGGCGCGAGGCAATACAGTGGTGCAGTCGATATCTGGAGTATTGGGATGGTCTTTGCTGAACTACTCATTCGGAGACCGTATGCAGCAGCAGATGTGGCAAACCAAGAAGTGCTAGCAACAGGTGGGGGAACTGTCGCACAACTCGACAAAATCTGCGAAGCGGTCGGGACACCGAACGAAGAGAATTGGCCAGGAGTCTCCAAGCTGAGGGACTATTTCGAGCTTGACAAAAAGATTCCGGTCCGCGAAAAGCCGTTCTACATGCAAATGTTTCCAACAGCAGGGTCTGTTGGCGTCGATCTGCTCATGGCGATGCTGAAACTTGATCCACGAAAGAGAGTGACAGCAAGAGGAGCCCTGGAGCATGAATGGTGGAGGATCGATCCCAGGCCTACCAACAAGGAGAATCTCCCGAAGCAAGGCGGCGGTGATTCGAAGATGGCTGCTGCGGAAGTGGCAGCCCCGGGATTTGTCGTCGACGAGAACAAGTTCAAGGGCGTCGCGAAGAAGCTTGATTTCGGTGCCACCCAGTCAAAATGATACGGGGAAAGTTGAACCATGTTAGATATGTTCAGACACTACCACCTGCATCTCGGCCGATTGATTTGAAATCGCGTGAGATACTGGCGAGGAATTTTTGCGAAGATCGCAAACCGAGACAAGTCGCGCAACCATCTTCTATCTCACGCTAAGAGCATATATTGCTCTACGGTCAAGGGTGTCAGTCCCGCTCGCAACAAAAAGGTAGTTCGAGGATATCTCATCGAGAGGGCCCTATTTACTCCGGCAAAACCCACCAATTCTCACTCACAACTCACTTGTGTGTCTCTCACACTTTACCACTCCGAACACACCGCTTCCACTTTTCACCACACCAGGCTCTCAATAAAGTCGACTTCTACTGACATCCACTCTCTCACAAGATCTAGTCTGCCACCCAGCTCACAAAAGCCCTTCTACCGATCATCTAACTGTGTCGCTTCCGATTAGTAGGTTCTCCGGCAGAAATGGAGGCCATCGTCCTTGTGGACAAGCCCATTATTCTAGCTCCTGACTTGACGACTTGCAAAACCGTTGGCGACTTCTTCACCGCTATCAAAGACTTCAACTCGGACATCTTCAACGACATGGAGACTTTGCTGTACATTATACATGGCTCTGACGGTATCCAGGTGCCACTGAACGGTCCCTTGTACGACCCCGAGCGTCCTCTACCAACCACCATCGATTCAGTCTTCCGCATTACGGCACGGCCGATGCAACTAGAGTACCTCGTACGAGTCCGTCTCCCACTTCAGAATTTCACGCACCCCTGGCCAACATACGGTTCTGTGACAGTGTGGTGGGGCGACACTGGAAGACGGCTACGAGAAAAAATTCATGCGAAATACGGAATTCCGATAGACTCTTTTATGCTCGCATTTCGTGGCGCTGGCGTCTTCGATACCATGAGTCTCTGTGAGCAGAAGATCTTGGGCTGCTGTATTGTCACTGTGAGACTAAGCATTTCGATCAAATGCCAGTTCAAGAAGGAGGATTATTCGATCCGGGTCTGGTCCGATGACACGATGAAAAAACTTCTCGAAATGGTTGCGAAGCGGATGGATGAAAGCCTAGAGTGCCTTCGCTTCGCGATCATCAAATGCTCTGGCAACGTTACTGAAGAAGCAAAGAAGTGGCTCCCGGATCAATCCGACATTTACTCGGCTGAGTACGTCGCCGGAACATTGGAAGAGAATGGGTTTCGACACGGAGACAAGATCATGGTATTCCGCCAGCAAGAGAACTCGAATAAACGAAAGAGGGACTCCGAGGAAGCTGAGACTAAGGAAACCGCCTAAGACCAGAGCGACGAAGTCAGAAAGGCGGGAGAGAAATATCATGTGCTACTGAGGGACTGCCCGCACAGGCGTCGGAACGGTATGTTCGAGCCTGTGGATTTGCAAGTGAGAATTGAAGGCATGTTGGAAAACCACACCTTCTCGCTTGGCATGGACTGGGCATAGCGGCACGAGAAAATGATTAACAGCGGTGAAAGGCATCGCGTAGCCAGGAAGATGAAAAGAGACAAGCAATGTCAGGTGGAAGTGTGCTGGCGGTGAGGGATACAGAGCTCCGTATGGGCACAAGAATCAAGGGCACTTGCTATTGAGCTTCACAGCGGAATGATAGTCGATGAGCCCGCGCAGCAAAAGAGCTCCAGCCAGGAAATAAATTGTAACTGGCTGCGTGTTCAAAGTTCGAGCTTCTCTCTATACAACCTGGATCGTATTTCCCGAATATTTTCCTTTCCTTGGGCCCATTCCTTCGTCGTCCATCTTTGTGCTCTTTTCCACTTCTGCTCCTCCCTTTTCCCGTCTCAATTCACAACCTGGTCATCTCCTCAACGTCCTCGCCGGGAGCATTCCAACCGACCTCCAAAATTCCCGAGCATCCAACTTTCTGCCCAATGCCTCCATCGGCCTCGGCAGTGACTTCACGGCCTTGTCCCGCATCAACTCCATCACCCAACGTCGATACTTCGTCCTTTCTTCCAGCTTCGTCTGCTCTTCCACATCATCCTCACTCCCGCGGCTTTCCTCACTCGAGTCCCCATTGAAATCCCATACGACGCTCCACCAATCGTAGCTCACGCAGTCCGCCACTATCCATCTCCTGCCAAACAATCGCCCTGTCCGAGACTGGCCGCTGCCACCGGTACCATTCTCCTCAGTTTCCTTGCGATCTGCGTCGATGACCCCGACTACAGCTCGCGCAACATCCAGCCCGTGGATCAAGTGCAGCGCCCCTTTCTCACTGAGCTGTTCCTTGGTCTTCGCGACTCGCGCAATCCAATTGCCAGGCTGCCTTTGTGCCCCGTACAGACCTGCAAGGTTCAACACGCAGCCGAGCAAGGAGATGAGTTCGTCCTCTGCAATCCCTCTCTCGTTTGACGGATCGATTGGAGAGCGGCTGTCGACAAAGTCCGCGGACGTCCAAATTCCAGTACTGCCGAGCTGTATCCACTTCGTCTTCTTTGTCGTTACCGTAGTGGTCTCTCTGTCACCTCCTCGACCGCCTCCCTCACTCGCCGCAGCTGAGGAATCCAAGTTCGCGAGACCGTATTCCTGATGCGTCTCGGTGTACATGCCCACCAATCTCCTGGATGGGCCCTTCCCTTTTAATGGAAACGTGACAAGCACATACTCCGCCAAGGGAAGCGCTTTGAATGCCTCCTCGAGGTCGGCGGATTCTGGATCGAATTTAAAAGGAATGGTCCCTTCACGTCCGCTTGTGGTGGTGGCTGCGTATGTAATGTCCTGCCTCTTGTTGAGAAGCGGTTCGAGGAATTGCCACACCCAGCCGGCTCCGAGGACGAGGAGGGTGACTTTTTCTGCGGCTGGTATGGTGGATGGTGAGGCGAAGGTCATAGTCACCTTTGCGGGATGAAACGTTGAAGAGAGGTTATAGCATAAGGTAATCAGGTGTTAGAGGTTATCGAGGTACATATAGAATGTCTATCGGAGGTGACATATAGTTAGACTCAGCCCCGCATTCAGCATAGATTTAAACAATTTCTTGACCCACGACAAAGAGTCATTGCTTAAACCCGACCCCCTTAATTGTCTAGACAAGTTTAAATGAATTGGGAAATGGAGGCATCAACGCCGTTGTCCGCATCGTCCCAAGCCTCGTCCAACCCTTTTGCAATTGCCGTCGTGGGCGCTGGCTTAACGGGCCTCTCCATCACCCTGTCCCTCTTACACCACGACCTCTACAACCCCAGAGACATCACGATCTACGACCTCCGCCGCCCCGCGGACACTCCCGACCCGGCCAACTCGTCCGGCGTGGTGCTCACACCTAACGGCCTGCGCGTTCTCGACGCGCTCGGCGTCCTCGGCCGGATATCGTCCAGGTGCTGGCTCTCCGAGTACCGTACGTACAAGAATGAAGACGATGAGACAACCCGGAAGACGCTGATCACCAACGAGGCCCTCTACGGGTACAAGAACCACCGGCTGTGGCGGCGAATCCTGCTTGAGACGATGCTGGAGATGGTAAGCGAGCGAGGCGTCAGGATCTGTTGGGGGACGAGGTTCGAGGGCATAGTGGACGAGAGCGAGAAAGGGGACAGGGTCCTGTTCAGAGTCAATGGGCGGGATGAATCGGCCGGGATGCTGATCGGCGCGGACGGGATTCATTCTTCGGTGAGGAAATATGTCAATCCAGACGACCCCGGGCCCGAGTACACGGGTATCGCGGGTGTCCTGAGCCACATCCCCTGGAACTCGGTCGAGTGGCCGTATGAAGACTATGAGCGTGCGTGCACGATTCAGGGAAAGCCCGGGGCATTTGTTCTAATGCCTGAAGACCGGGAAGGAAGTATCATCATGGTCGCGATGCAAGTCAGGATGCAAGATCGCAGTCGGCAACAGTGGGAAGCGTTGGGGCGGGACAAGGAGTTCTTGCGTGCTTTCTATGCAAACACCCGAGACAAATGGGAGAGTCGAACAGCAAAAGGAATCATCGATGCCGTTTGTCGCCATGTCGATACGACATTTTTATGGCCCTTCATGCGAATGGCGCCGCTCAAGAAATGGTTCTCAGAGAAGGCGGGCAGGGTCATCATCATGGGCGATGCAGCTCACGCGTTGCCTCCTAGCAGTGGACAGGGCGTGAACCAGGCCCTGGAGGACGTGCACGCTCTGACTAGGCTGCTTCTTCTGCTCAAATCGAAGCCAACACAAGAGCTGAAGAATTCGCTGGCGTTCTGGCAATCCCTCCGGCAGGCTCGTGTGGATGCGGTCTTCAACTGGGCAACGAATAAGACAAACGTCCAGCGTCTGCCCCTGGCGGAAAGAGAGAGGCTTGTGCGCGAGGGGAAAGTCATCGACGCCAGCAATGCTGAGAATTTTGACGACATGCGGTGGCTGTATCAGCCGGACACCGACAACGTAATTGACGCGTGGGTGTCCCAACAGGGGTGAACACCAACTATAGGTGAAAAAATCGGTTATCGTTGGGTCAACCAAGGAAATTAATACCGTGTGGATCCCCTCTGTCCGCAGCGCTGAGATCGAAATCCTCAACCACTTCATCCCAGCCTCCATTGCTGTCATCACTCCGTCGCCAACAAACCAACTTCCCCTTGCCCACTTTGAGTCGATTCATCACGACCTTGACATGACAGAATCGAGCCGCGACTGGCAGTTCGGGAATACGATGAAGATATTGTTTATTCTTCTCGACTGGGGAATCGAAAGGCTGAGAGTCGAGATCCAGGCCAAAATCGTCGAAAAATCCCTTCTCTTCCATCGCCATAACTCTCTGCGCATTGTGTGCCACGATGACGCCATCCCAAAAACCTTCACGGTGTGGCGCCGCCAGGAGCAATGCAATCGCCTGCCTCCTCAACCAGGGTACTCGGCATTTCAATGCAACGTATAACAGCGGAGGGATGGTGCCCAAATCCACCGTAAAACTGAACCCGGAGACACGTGCGTCGTTGCATAACTGACGACATTCAGTGTCGCCGGCGTTGTGGTACAGCGCGATTGTCATGGTGAGTATCGACGTGAATGCGAAAGTGAACTCATCGAAACACCTTTCGGAAGTGGACAACATAGTGTCGACCATGATGTCCGCCATCGTATGGTAGATACATAACAGCGATAATCCCTGCATGTTTGCTGGCTTGGTGGTTCGATTCAGTGTCGGAAGGCTCGCCCTGAAAGTTCGGATCCACGATGAAGTTGTTTCCCGAAGGGAGCGATGCTGTTGAATGAGTTCCTCCGGGAAGGCTGTTCCCATGACTTCCAGCCGGCGACATTGCTCTGATAGAGTTAAAATGGCCTGCATGAGAGAATCGAAAGTCCGCCGGGCCTGTGTCAGAGCCGGGAGGACTTGGGGAAGTCTCCAGTCAGTGAAGAACTTCTGCTGTTGGGAAACACTGAAAAGGGCATCGACAGCTCCCACATGGGCTGACTGGAGGCTGAGTCGTGTGAATGCTTCGACCAAATAGTCATCGATCGTCTCGGGCAGCCTCTTGGGACAAAGTGCCTGCTTCTCCACGTCCTGTTTTAACTTGCTCAGCAGATTCAATCCGTGCCGGGCATGGACCATGGCAGTTGTGTAGTCCCCTCGGAGCAATTCTAGAGAGATATACAGTATGCACGCAACCAATGCAGTACGAAGCTCGGCTTTGTGGTCTTCCTCGAATTGGCGGGCACGCAAACACGCAATAGACTTGTTATACTGCTGCAAAGCAAAGGCTTCGTGCGTGTCCAGAATGCCATTTGCCTCACAGCAAGAGAGAGAAGACGGTACGGCGCTCCCGTACAGATTGAGTTGGGCGCTTCTGTGAGCAGAGGCGAGGGCCACAGCAGCATGCAGGATCGGGAGTTCTGAGGAGCTCGCTTGAAGTACCAGGTCGGCCCAGAAATGGGAAAAAAATACCCCGGGGATCTTGACAACGGTCTTGTTGAGAAAGTAGTCAAAGCAGCTCCGTTCCGCGTGACTGAGGTTATGGAAGGGTGTTGATGTATTGTGTTTAGAGAGACTCTGAGTTGCGACGGGCAAGGTTGGCAGTATGCACCTTTTTGGAAGTGGCTTTGGCTGCCTCCGGCGCTCGTCCTCTGTCGCTTTCGTTCCACCGCCCCAGATTCCATAGCCTTCACAAACAATTCCTGCATTCGAGCAATTGTGACAGCCCGGTCGCGATTCGTCACATTTCAGATGTCTGAGTTTGCAGGTTCGGCAGCCCGATTTGACCTTTGGTGCATATTGGCGTCTGCGCTTCCACACCAAATTGGCCATGTTTAATCCAATCCTGCCAAGATCCTGAAAATTCCTTGGATTGAGAACCCACAGCAACCAATCTTACCCGTAATTTGAGCGAGACGATTGGTAGACTTGAGAGATGAAACTGGTGTGAAGGTGAAGTTCGGTCTGTTAAATATTAGAGCTATCGCTGAATTCGTCGTCTGCGTCGCTCGGCAACAACCCGCGTCACCGATTCTCGTCAAGTAGTATTGCCATTGGCCGTCTCGTATATTGCGGAAGCTGATTGGGAGACGGCCTCGCAAAATACCTTTGCCTGATTAGTGCGGTGACCCGCTAGATGAAGTCGAACTTCTAGCCGAGAGTTGTCGTGCACTGATCTGACTAACCACAAAGCCTGATGAGTAAATGTGAAAGTTGAGTTTTGAGATGCTTTAGTCAGACGCCAAAGAATACGGCGCTTTTCGATGAAGAAAGCCTCTTTGTTGAAAGACAGAAAAAGTGTCCGACCAGGGGAAGCTTAGAAAATGAAGAGCTCGAGTCGCTCGTATGATTGGATGCCTGCTCGCTCGGACTCTCGAGTTGTTTGTTGACTGGGCTTGGGGTTCTCTCTCAACTCTTGCGGATCAGCGGTGTGTCAATAAACGGTCATCAGCACTCGCTGTCTCACTGGGCCCCTCCATGAAGCATCGAAAATTTGACAGGAAAGGAAACTTGTGATAGACCATCAACAACGCTGTCTCGAACGCTTGTCCAAGGATAAGCTGACGTTTGCTAGGAGCACCTGAACTCGAAAGGAGAGGAGCTTGGAGTCGCAAGCATGCGTCAAAAGGAGGTGTGCTGGCCGCAAGCCTAGATTTCTAGCTTGACATACTATAACAGACAGCAGATCCAGAGTTTCAATGAAGGGGTCCGCCGCTTGACTTGTCGCTGCTCGCTTTATTAAAAGGTCGTTTCCTGGCTAAACAAAAACATGTCAGAACCAGACTTTTGACCCTCAATGCTGGGATCGCGGCGGAGGCATTTTGGATGATGACAGAATCATTGGCCATCTGTCTGCTTGCGTCCATATACTGTTCAGTCATCGGCCATCTCTTCTTCTGTGTTGATTTCACACATTATCCTGCAGGCATGATAAAAAGACGGCTCCGGCTCACAAGGGAACGCTGTACGCATCAGAATGCCGCTCCACTGATGACTACAACGATCGCACGGCAAAGGCCGGAGGAGGGCTTCGAGGCAATAAGAAGAGACTCAGCTGAGACAAAGTGGTATTAGTTCTTACCACTATCGCTATGTTTTTGTTGGACAATGTAAAACCGCAGGTGCAGCAGTGCAAAGGTCTCATTTGAAGTGCGAAACTTTCGTGTATGTAGGCTTCGAGGTGAATAGAGGCTTCCAGGATCCCAAGGCGGAGGGGTGGAGCATCGACAGCACTTTGGTCGATTGGGAGAAGTTGTGGAAGACCATTTGGAAGGAGTTGGTCATGGAGACATCTGAGCTGATCTGACAAGGCTGGGCAAGGCTGAGATAATGTGACGGCACTCTGAATTAGTCCTTGTCGGAGACGCGTCGCGTTTCGCGTTCAAATGGCGCAATTTCATTGGCGGATTCATGGCTTCCTTCAAATGACTCCTCGTTCGCTGTTGGACTTCTCAGCCTAGTGTCCACGAATCTTCCGACAAACTTCTAGTCTTCGCTGCAGATAGAGCAGTGGGCCATCTCATTATGGCCTCTGCCCAGAAGAAGCAACAGACGATATCCTCCTTCTTCAAGAGACCCTCTTCAACTCCTACCCCCAAATCTCGATTGCAGATCTCTCCACAGGAGGAGGAAGATAATGATGATGATGATGAATTAGTATTACCTAGGCCGAAGAGACGCCGCATCACCCCCGCCACAGAAGCCGCAGATGAGACTAGAGCTGTAGAGGAGGAGGAAAGTGAGGAACCTGCTATACCGCTGAGGCCTGTCGTTGCCAATGGACAGACACTCGCCACAACCACAACCGAATCTGGGGCATCAACGAGGACAGCGAAATATTTCTATTCTTCCTCCCCTCAACAGGAAAACCAGGATGCCGACGCGATTAGCGATGTAGAGAAAAGGCGAAGAGATGAGCTACACCGAAAGTTTGTTAAGAAGCTGGGCAAGCCAGACAGTATCGCTGAAATAAAGCGGCGAAACCGACTACTCGAAGACGATGCCGCGGACGAGGAACATGAGGATGGAGAGGAAGAGCCTGTCGACGAGGCACCGAAATCGACTACTCGAGCCAAGAAAAGTGGGAGTAAGTTGACACCTATGGAAAAGCAAGTGTTAGAGATCAAGAGAGCGCACATGGACACCTTGCTTGTGGTTGAAGTGGGTTATAAATTCCGATTCTTTGGCGAAGATGCAAGAATTGCGGCCAAAGAACTCAGTATCGTTTGCATCCCGGGGAAATATCGATATGATGAACATCCATCGGAGGCGCACCTGGACCGTTTTGCATCCGCAAGTATTCCAGTCCATCGGTTGCATGTGCATGTCAAGAGATTGGTTGCCGCTGGACATAAAGTGGGCGTTGTTCGACAACTTGAGACTGCAGCGTTGAAGGCCGTTGGCGATAACAGGAATGCCCCTTTTGTGAGGAAGCTCACGAATCTGTACACAAAGGGCACTTATATCGATGATATTGAAGGCATCGAAGGCGATGGTCAAGGAACCGCTGCCCCAAAGTCTGCATCTACCGGATTTTTGCTATGCATGACAGAGGTCAACATCAAAGGCTCCGGCAATGACGAAAAAGTCCACGTCGGTCTAGTAGCGGTTCAACCTGCTACAGGAGATATTGTGTACGATGACTTTGAAGATGGTTTTATGCGGAGCGAGATTGAGACCAGACTGCTCCACATTGCGCCCTGCGAATTCCTTATTGTTGGCGAGCTCTCCAAGGCGACAGAGAAGCTTGTTACTCATCTGTCTGGGAGCAAGACAAACGTGTTCGGCGATAAGATTCGAGTTGAGCGAGTCGCAAAAAAGAAAACAATGGCCGCTGAAGCACACACTCACATATCGAGTTTTTATGCTGAAAGGCTCAAAGACTCCCGATCAGAGGGAGAGATGGCCGCCAAAATTTTTGACAAGATCATGGGTTTGCCGGAAAACGTATCCATCTGCCTCTCAGCAATGATCAACCACTTGTCCGAATATGGCCTCGAGCATGTCTTCCAACTCACCAAATATTTTCAGCCTTTTTCCGCTCGATCACATATGTTACTCAATGGAAACACATTGACAAGTCTCGAGATCTACTTGAATCAGACAGACCATTCTACAAAAGGTAGCCTGTACTGGATGATGGATCGAACGCAGACGAAATTCGGAGGCAGGCTGCTGCGCAAGTGGGTTGGACGGCCGCTGTTGGATATACAAAGCATCGAAAACCGACTGAATGCTGTGGAGGAGCTGCTCAATCCAGACAATGCCCCCCAGGCCGAAAAATTGAGACGGGTGTTGTCGAAGATTAGAACCGATCTAGAGAAAAGCCTCATTCGGATCTATTACGGCAAGTGTACAAGACCAGAGCTGTTGAATGTTCTTCAGTCGCTCCAGATGTTGGCGACCGAATTTGCCTATGCGACGGATGCGACATCTACCGGTTTCGTCTCGGACCTGATCTCATCTGCAATGGTCTCCCTCCCGTTAATTCTGACAGAGGTCGTGGGATATCTGGACAAGATCAATCTTCAAGCTGCCAAATCCGACGACAAGTACACCTTCTTCCAGGACGCCTCAGAGACTGAAGCCATTTCCGAGCACAAATTCGGCATTGCCGCCGTTGAGCATGATCTCGACCAGTTTCGATCGACTGCCGCCGAGAAACTAGGCAAGAGGAACCCAGTTGACTACGTGACTGTGGCAGGCATCGAATACTTGATCGAAGTTGAGAACAACTCTCCCACGATCAAGAAAGTCCCGGCGTCCTGGATAAAGGTCTCGGGAACCAAAAAGATGTCTAGATTTCATCCCCCGGAAGTTGTCAAGCTTTTGCGAGAAAGGGACCAGCACAAGGAGTCTCTTGCAGCTGCTTGTGATAAAGCTTTCCGGGACCTGCTATCCGACATCAGCACGAAGTATCAACTTTTTCGCGACACAATCCAAAGCCTTGCAACTCTAGACTGCCTGTTGTCATTGGCAAATGTGGCATCTCAGCCAGGATACGTCCGTCCGATTTTCGCATCCGACACTCGAATCGAAGTTCAGGGTGCGCGGCACCCAATGGTCGAGCAACTTCTGATCGATTCTTACGTGCCCAATAACATCTCCATATCTCAAGCCTCCACGCGAGCTCTACTCGTAACAGGGCCTAACATGGGCGGGAAATCCTCCTACGTCCGGTCTGTGGCCCTCATCTCCATCATGGCACAAATCGGGTCTTTTGTCCCAGCGGCGTCCACAACCTTGGGAATCCTCGATGCGGTCTTCACCCGCATGGGCGCGTTTGACAACATGATGTCTGGCGAGTCAACATTCATGGTCGAACTCAGCGAGACGAGCGACATTTTGAAACTCGCCACAGATCGCAGTCTGGTGGTGCTGGATGAATTGGGCAGGGGAACGAGCACGCATGATGGAGTCGCCATTGCCGCATCTGTGCTGGACTATCTCGTGAGAGAACGGAAGTGCTTGACGCTATTTATTACGCATTATCAAATGCTGGCACGCATGGCAGATGGGTTTCCCAATGGAGAACTCAAGAACGTTCACATGCGTTTTACTGAGACGGATGATGAGAACGTCACGTTTCTCTATGAAGTGGGTGAAGGAGTGGCGCATCGCAGCTACGGATTGAATGTGGCGAGGCTGGCAAATTTGGGTGAGAACGTGATTGAAGTGGCGAGGGAGAAAAGTCGAGAGTTAGAAGAGACGACGAGACAGCGGCAGTTGAGCGGCATTGCAAGGGCGCTGGTGCAAGGGGCAAGCGGGAGTGGACACAAGAGGAAAGTGGCAGGGGAGAGCCTGGATATGTTGGTGGAGGGCATTGAGATGCTTTAATATGACAGTGTTTGAGGGCTTTGAGTATTATATGTGTGAGTGAACATAGATACGGAAATTACAAGTCCAAGACAGCTACAGGTCGGCTTAGTGGCAAGGTATGAGATTGAGGGCAGAAAGTAGATTGAGCGTCTATGATAGCCGCCACAACATACTGTACGTTCTTTGTTTGACACGACTCCACGTGTCCTTTTGAGTGCAGGGACTGGCCAGAATACACCATGTCTCCTTTCCCCCATCTCAGCACCAGCTGATCAGAGCGGTAGAGTACCACATGCCCGTGGGAACTCGACGCCACCTTCTAACTGTGATTTTGGTCTCTCCATCATAATCTCGTGTACATATTTCAGCATGGGGACTCGCTCAATCATGCCATCTACGTACGCCCTCTACCCTCTTTCATCTATATAAGCATGTGCCTCCTACATCACAACTCCGCGGCAAAGTCCCCTTGCACAATATTCGCACTCGCGTTAGGCAATCCAACCACGGCGATTCCAGCAGGGATCCTCGTCGACCTGGCGTTGAAACAGGCAAATGCAGCCAACTTTGCCAGGGAAGGACAACTCTTGAATATTCCGGCCATGACCACATCATCGACCTGCGTAACAAATGACAGATCCATATCCCTGAGAGCGGGATACTGCTTGACACCGTCGAACACCTCGAGGAGGGTAGACTGGGAGATGTGACGACAGGCTTTGAGATTGAGACATTCGAGCCGCACACCGGAATGGGCCATGAGTGCCCGGAGAGCGAGTGAGCCAAAGCCTATCGGGTCGTCTTGTGGGCCTTCAGGGTTCATGTTGTCAATGTCGCGGTTGTCAGAGAAGTCGGCGTACAGTAGGGGAGAGAAGGGACAGTTACTGCCGAAGAGATCGGCAAAGACAACGTCCCTGCAGATGCTGCTTCCTCGAATGCGCAGCTTATAGAGTTGGGGGCAGTGGCTCTTGATGGCATAGATGACGGCATCGTCGAGTTCATGGAAGTCTTCTAGGCAGAGAGTACGGAGCTTGGCGCCCAAGCTGGAGATGAGTTTGATCAGAGTCTGTGAACATGTGTCCTGGGCGACACTGCCGAGAGTGAGGTGCTCGAGATTCGACAGTGCGCAGAGTGCGTCAAGCGATGCCTCACCCATGTGTGAACATGACCTTAACTTGAGTCTCTTGAGTTTCTGACATTTCTTCGCAAGTAGCGCGACTGTATCATCCTTCAATGAGTCGTTGAGTTCTGACAACTTCAGACTCTCCAGCTGAGGGCCAAGTGAGTTGAACAGATCAATCCAGGCCTTGTCCGAGACCAAGTTTGTTGCACCAAGCTGCAGGTGACGAATCTTCCTGCACTTATCGGCCATATACAGAAGGGGTCCGTCCTTCAGCTGGCCCGCGAAGCGCAAGTTAACAATCTCGACCTGGGGCATTAGTGCGAAGATCTTTTGAAAGTCTTCTTGCTCCAATTTGCCGCAGTCGTACACGATGATGCGGTCGACATCAGGGCGGAGGAATAGTTCGAGTGTTCGAGGAGTCAGGACTCTCCGTTTTGAAAGAATTTGGCTTAATCGATCCAAGAGATTTTGTGGCATATCACCGAACTCCTCGATGTCGTTGACCACGTCGGCAACTTTACGAACGCACATATCAACCAGGCTTTTGGCGCCAGGCTTGACGTCACCCATCATTCGATCGCTTTCGGTCTGTCGACGGCGACCTTTAGGAACAGAGGCTCGCTTTTTCTTGGCCTGGGCTTCTTTCTTTTCCTCGTCCTTGAGTTCTTTAGAGCACTTTGTGCACAGAAGACCACCGTCAGGACCAGTCCTGCTGTAAGGGGTGACGGTGAATCTCTTTCCACATTGCTCGCAGTTGTCAAGTTGACCCGGCAGGGGTTTAGCTTTGGCCATCATGGCTCGGGCAATTTCGTCGTCGTCCGTCTCGAAGTCACTGCCTTGCTCTAGTTTACGCTCCATCTTGCGTTTTTTGAACTCCTTGCTCTGTTTGATCTTCATCAAAGCCTTCTCCTGTTTTCTCTTGCGCTTCTTGCGCTCAACAGGATCATCGTCCTCACCGTCATCGCCGGATTCATTTTCCTTGTCCGCATCCGCATTTTCGGTACCTTCTCCTGTGTCTCGCTCGGCTTCGCGGAGGCGTTGCTGGTAGTCCTGTTGGATCTGTTGAGCTGAGATGTTGTGAGAGGCGAGGAAGTCTGTGAGTGCAGACTGGGGTCCGCGAATGCGATTAACCGCAGCAGCACGTCGCGTTGTCCTATTTCCAGTGTTAACACGAGTAAGGCTTGTATTCCAGGGGGAATGGACGAACATTGTGACCGATTTTGTTGGAGATCCGTATGTCGGAGAGCTCTAAGAAAGGAAGAGAAAGTCGATGTGGCAGGACCAGATTAGGAGGTGAATAGAGAACTCGGTGGTGTCAAGTTACTGAAAGCGTTTTAACCTCATCAATAGGGTGATAAACTCCTATATTCACCACCCGCATTCAAAGGCAGAAGCATTGGCAAGGCGCTGAGGGGCAATTCGCACTTGGCGCGGTGGGTGGCGCGTTCAATGAGGAAGACGAGTCCCGTGCTCACGTGGGCGCTTACCAAGCGAGCCCAGCTTCACCCGACAGCATTGCTCGACCCATGTTCGACTCGCGAGGACGACTGGGTACTCGGTACTTTGATATGCTCTCCTGGCCACTTCTGTAGAGACCCAATGGACACCGAAATAAGTATTGACGTGGCGACTCCTTCGAAAGCGAAAGCCCATTGCTACGATCGAACTACGGCATCGGCCGATGCTCCACACTCTTCGATAGGAATAATGCTTGGACAGAGCAATAGAACAGATCTTACAAATCACAACTATCGAAAAGCGCCCTGTCAAATTGACGATTGAGAAAAGACCCCCTCATGCGGACTCGTAGAATATTGTCTTTTCCTCCTAGCCAAATAGTTCACTGGGAAGGACCTAACGTACATACGGGTGGTGATGGTGAGGTATTGGGATGCCTCATCTCTCGCTGCTTTACCAAGTTTTGCAGTACTCCATACGAGGCAAACTCGGTACTAATGCCGCTTTTGTTTTCCACAGCACTTAACGCGTCCCCACGCGCCGCAATTCAGGCAGAAAACGCGCTAAACCCAGATCTTTATCGATTGTGCCTCGATCTCTATTTCTGCAGTATGAGCCGAGCCTCACCCTTTTTGCACACCTCTCCCTTACTCGCAACTCGACGACCACCATGGGCGCTCGAGGCCGTCCCTCAAGGTCTGCGACCTCTTCGAGGGCGCCTTGTAAGTCTCTGCTTAAACATCAACCAATTGATAACTGACTGACCGATGCCCACAGCCTCAAGAGTTGCGACCGAGAAGTCGTCTCCTGCACCCACCAAAGCCCCTCCTAAGCGGAGCAGTAATCGAAGTCGAGGTCGGCCTTCAGCATCTACAGTCACAGAGATTCCGAATTCTGAAGACGACGTTATTCTCGTTGGTGCCCCGACCGCAAAGGGCACGTTCCAAGGAGTCTTTATCCCTAAGGATGAATCTGCTCCTGCAAATCGTCGGGGCAGACCGTCTGCGTCGACGGCCCCTTCCTCCATCGCCGATTCAATGGACTCGCCTAGCTATGAAACTCCGGACACCAGCACTTTCCCAACGCCTGATCCGGGAACATCGAAATCGAGTGTTGGAGCAACCGCCAGGGCTCTGCAGCTTCAGTCCTCCGAATATGCTCTTCGCCGCGGCACCCGGTCTTCAAGAAAGCGAAACATCACTGAAATAACTGATCAAGATTTTGAAGACACGGACGCACAAATTGCTGCTAAACTGCAGGCAGAAGAGTACAAAGTGGTGGCAGATTCAGAAGACTCCGATGACGAACCTCTGTCTAAGCGCCGTCGTACTCGGCCATCTCTCAATGACATGATAGACGCTGAAGATGACATGCCGCCGCCCGCCAGCTTACGTCAGGGTCGAACCAAGCTTCCGCTCCGTAACCCTGGCTTTTCCACTTCTACCCGCCGGTCTTCACTCGACAGCTCCGAACTTTCATCAGCGGTCTCCATTGCCGACACAGAATTGTCAGATTTCACTCTTCCGCCCATGTCCATGGACACAGTCGACTTCAGTGAGTCCGACGATGAATCTAATCGTTTTGAACCGCCCTGGGCTAGAGGACGTCGAGTAGATTGGACAATGTTGACCGAAGAAGAAATCGAGTTCTGGACAGACCCTGTGAAACGACGTCAAATTAGGGAACGCAAACGCTTGGAACGAGCCCACCCAGACATCAAAACCATGTGGACGGATCTCGGCAAAATCCCAGTCATCAAGCCTGTGCAGGCGCCACAACCAACCGGGATCAGTCGCAAGCTGAAGCCTTTCCAGCTCGAAGGCTTGGACTGGATGATGAAACAGGAAAAGTCCCAATGGAAAGGTGGCTTGCTCGGTGACGAGATGGGTATGGGAAAGACCATTCAGGCTGTCAGCCTTATTATGTCCGACTATCCGGCTAAGGCTCCCAGCCTGGTGATTGTCCCTCCAGTCGCGCTCATGCAATGGCAATCGGAAATCAAAGAATACACCAGCGGAAAGTTGAAGGTGCTTGTTTACCACTCCTCTGCCAATCCAAAATGCAAACTTCTCACTGTCAAAGACCTGAAGAAGTACGATGTTATCATGGTCTCCTATTCTGGTCTGGAGTCGATGTACCGGAAAGAACAGAAAGGGTGGTCTCGAGGTGATGGGATTGTGAAGGAGGACAGTGTGTTGCATTCGATCAAGTATCACAGATTGATCCTCGACGAGGCCCACAGCATCAAGCAACGCACCACTGGTGTGGCAAGGGCCTGCTTTGCCTTGAGAGCCACGTACAAGTGGTGCTTGTCCGGTACACCCGTTCAGAATCGCATTGGCGAGTTTTTCTCCCTGCTACGCTTCCTCGAGATCCACCCGTTTGCATGCTACTTTTGCAAGGAATGCGGTTGTCGTGAACTCCATTGGTCCCAGGATGAGTCGAAGAGATGCATCAAGTGTCAGCACAGTGGCTTCAACCACGTCTCTGTGTTCAACCAAGAGATTCTCAATCCGATCACCCAGGGAAACAACGAGAAGCTAAGAAAGGAGGGTCTAGACAAGTTGCGTCTGATCACCGATCGTATCATGCTTCGTCGTATGAAACGAGACCACACTTCTTCTATGGAGCTACCCCCCAAAGAGATCGTTGTCCACAACGAGTTCTTTGGAGAAATTGAACGAGACTTCTCACAAAGCATCATGTCAAACTCGACTCGCAAATTCGACACCTACGTCGCGCAAGGTGTGATGCTGAACAACTATGCGAACATCTTCGGTCTCATTATGCAAATGAGACAAGTTGCCAATCATCCCGACCTGATCTTGCGCAAGAACGCTGAAGGCGGGCAGAATATTCTTGTCTGTTGTGTGTGCGACGAACCTGCCGAAGACGCCATCCGTTCCCGCTGCCGCCACGAATTCTGTCGCCAATGCGCCAGGTCATACGTCCAGTCCTTCGCCGGTAGTGCGTACGGAGGTACTGAGGAAGACGCAGATTGTCCTCGATGTCATATTCCCCTGGTAATAGACTGGGACCAGCCTGAAATTGAGCAGGATGAAGACAACATCAAGAAGTCATCAATCATCAATCGCATCAAGATGGAGGATTGGACCAGCTCTACAAAGATTGAAATGCTGGTGTATGATCTGTACAAGCTCCGCAGCAAGAAACAAACGCACAAGTCCATCGTGTTTTCGCAGTTCACGAGCATGTTACAGCTCGTCCAGTGGCGATTGCAGAAATCGGGTTTCAGCACGGTGTTATTAGATGGAAGCATGACACCGGCGCAGAGACAGAAGACGATCGACCACTTTATGAACAACGTCGATGTTGAGGTCTTCCTCGTCTCACTTAAAGCAGGTGGTGTCGCCTTGAACTTGACCGAGGCCAGCAGAGTTTACATTGTCGATCCGTAAGTCCAAGCAGCTTCTCTTCCCTCACTTGTCGACTTTTACTGACTGAAGTTTCGAACAGATGGTGGAACCCGGCTGCCGAATGGCAATCTGCGGATCGGTGCCATCGGATCGGTCAACGTCGGCCGTGCGTCATCACTCGTCTGTGTATTGAAGATTCGGTCGAATCAAGGATGGTGTTACTTCAAGAAAAGAAGGCCAATATGATCAATGGCACGGTAAATAATGATCAGGTCGCGCTGGATAAGTTGACGCCGGAGGACATGCAGTTCTTGTTCCGTGGCTCTTGAGGAACGGGAGATCCCAATGCTTGTTGACGGGGCGGATAAGGTTGCTCTACGAGAAACGGTCTGTGCTTGAGCATAAACCCTGGAGAGGCACATCAAGTACGAAGCAATACGGCAACCACGGAGACCATGGCCGACACGACCTTAAATGACATGACATTATGTGCCTAGCGCAGCAGGGCAAGCAGGGCAAGACGCTTTTTCGACAATTTCATTTATTCGAAGCTTTCAAATACGCCCAGGCGGGATAAGCGCTTAGAACTTGTTGTGCAATGTGTTTCTACACCATAAGGGCCAGAAGGGTCGGATAACTTTGGGCTCGTTGTCATTCATTAGCAACATACTACTAGAGAATCCAAAAGTGCTGTAGGTCCTTGTTTCAAGTCTTCTCATCAATATGTCGAGCGGGAACCATTGGCCTCAACATTAGCACCTACAGAGCTCTAGACGCGCGAAAAGAGTAAAGAAGAGAGAAAAGAGAGGCGGCAAATTCTCTGGTCCTCCGCGTCTCTGGTCCTCCTCCGCCCTGATTATCTCCTCGTCTATTTCTCACGCACACACATTTCTCTGTATTCCTCGTCGATCTCGTGCCTCCGGACCCTTCCTTGCCCTGCCCCTCTTCTCTAGATAGACAGATAGACAGACGGAAAGGCAACGGCAACGGCATGGACATGCGCGGTGATGAGAGATTCGGGACAGGGGGGGGGAATAGTAAACTGGGGGTAAAGACTGTGAAAAGAGAAAAAGTGTTCACAAACGGGGAAGTTTCTTGTCTCGTCAGATCGATTGTTGCTAAAAGACCTCGATTCGAACATCTATTGCGGTGTACCTCGTCTCGGCCATTTCGATGTAAAACCACGAAAGAATGAAGTGGCCTCGCCGCTCGCCAACGCCCTTGTGTCCCTCAGCCCGATCCCGAGTGCCACAATGCTAACACTCGCCCACAGACAGACACATAAGTACAACACTCTCACAAAAGATCTGGTCTAATAGGTATTGATTCCGTTCATCACTCGGCAATCTCGTAAACGTAAACAAAGACGATCCATTGTCTGGAAATATCTTCCGTATTCATTTCATCAATGAAGCTTCACCGTCCCTCCGGGTGAATTGTTTTCTTTCACGTGGGAGGCCCACTTGCTCCTCCCTGTGTCGACGACGATCCAGATTCAGCCGCGGGAGAGCGCATGTACATCCCATCTCCCGCACCGGCAGAGGGAGGTGATGGAACAACTGTACCTCCTTGCTGATGCTGTTGTTGCTGTTGTTGCTGAGCGAGCTGCTGCTGGACCAGCAACTCCCGAGCGTAAAACTCGACTAGCATGGTGCCGTAAGCTTCAAGCTCCTCCACCGGAACCGAAAGTCTGAAGTCGTTGAGGAGGAGGAACTGAAGCTCAAGGTTGTTCAGTTCAGCCAGAGGAAGGCCTCCCACCTATCACGCAACCCATATGTCAGTATGTCGTTTCAGAGGCATGGTTGCGTCAGGACTCCGTCACAAACCCGAGCGACCGGGCGAGAAGTTTACCAGCAGAACAAAACATACCTTTGCGTATCTAGAATTCGTGTAAAAAACATCCGAGAAGAATTTACTGGCGCAAGTGACACCAGCAATTACAAGACGATGAATGTTGTAGCTATCAACTACGAAGAATTGCGACAAATCGGTCGGAATGTTGAGAGGTTGTGGAGAGGAAGGATGCTGGGGTTGAGATTGTTGGCGTGAATCCGATGAGGATGGTGGTGTGCTGATATCGTGGTGTTCTTGAGGGCTATCCACACTCATTGGCACAGGAGAACGTGGGGTGGGTGTGGACGACTCTGGCGCTGTAGCAGGCGAGTCGTCAGGTCCCCTGTGGACATTCCCCAGAAGCCCGCGGTTGACCATCTCGGTCATGCGATCAAAGTATACTAGCAGACTCAGGAAGACTTCGTACGTGGTCGGACAATACTTATGTATCCGACTCAAATAACTTAGGATCGTTATTCCTGGGACGTTCTTGCCATGGAAGGCCAAGACGCAGGATGCGTGTGGATTTAGATGACTCTGTTCCTCCGTGAGTGGGATCGGGCGGTGGTGCTCGTGCTGGCGATCGTTGGTGGTGGTGATCTTGGTAAGAAGTCCTGCGACCATCTCGATAATGTCCGTAACAGGCATTGCACTGATTTCATACTGCCTTCCTTGATCCGAAAATGTGCTGGAGGAGCGCCCCGATAGTCGTGGACGATTCAAATATTCCTCACTCGCAAGACTCCGAATATGTGACAGGTCTCTCACTTTTATCCGACTGGGGGAACTCGCTTCTGACGCGCCTAATGACCTAGTCGAGCGATACGTGGGTTGTAATCGTGGAGAGGGAGGGGAATTCGCGACCACGACTCGAGGATCGCTGGTGAGTGGGAAGCCAGACTGATCAAATCCGCGTGAGTGTTGGTTTACGTTTTGAGGGTAATAAGAGGGCTGTGTGTGATGGGAAGAGGATGCGTGAGCACTGTCTGGCTCATAGTCGTCGTGCTGTGACCCGGGGGTCGATGAATCCTCCGGAGGTTCGTGGACTACAGGTGTCTGGGTAGAGGACGCGCTGTACCCTCTGGAGGAGTCTTCGTGATGAGGATTGGTGTCCACCATTATGTGGTGATAGGGATGCTGACCGAGTCCCGGCGCCACTTGGCTGATCACCAGCGAGCCCATCTCAACCTTTGGGATAGGATGTCTGTGATAGAGGGTGTTAGCCAATCTCTAGGGCATGAACAACCCAAGCAAGTTGCATCGCAAAGGCACCGGTCCCAGCGTAGCACTGTCCAGCCGGATGCCGCGTGTTCTCTTCTGGGTGCACAGGTCCACGGTATGGTTGGCAGGGGTCCAGCAACTTGTATGGGAGGGGTGGACAAGATGCAAGACAGTCTTCCAGCGAGCCCGACGGCGTTAAAGGCAGGTTATATCATGGTGGTGGAGGGTTCGGCATGCCTTTGATCAAGTTGGCGGTGGGCGGAGAGCTAGCATGTGCAGCGCAGTCGCAGCCCACGACGAGCGAGCGGTGGGTGGGGGATGAAGAAACAAGGTGTCGACTTACCAAAGACATTGCCGGAAGTCACTGCTGGAGGTATGAGTGGTCAATGCAGTCAGGCACGTCTATCCCTCCAGACTTCGACGGCCGACTCGATAGATACAAGTGGCAAGATATGAAGGGACGGAGAGTAACGAGAAAGACGCAGACAGAGAGAGAGAGAATCGGGTGGTTTGGGTTTAGGTTTTCGGTTTGGTTGGGTTGGAAGCACAAGGCGCAGTTTCCCAGTGGCTAGTGGGCTGAAGCTGGCGGCCGACAGAGGCCACTGAATGGGGGACTGAACCTGGCACCTAAAGACCCGAGTAGCGAGCGAGCGAGCGGCCACGGGCGGAGCATTGCGACGCCTTTGCTTCCGCAGTGCAGCCGTTCACATGTGCGAGATCCTTGGTACTCCCTACCAAAAGGGACGTCTGCTTGCATCATACTGCATGCACACATCGGTCACAGAAGAAAGGTGACTGAACAGCAATTGGGCATCATCATCGCCCGGCGAGATCAAGAGGCTCCCATGCACACACCGTTTACTCTCACGCAGGTCGCCACCCAATAGGTAGTGGTGCAGCCTCAGAGTCCTCACAGCCATGCCCAAAAGGAATCTCCTGGACCATGGCACTCCCACTCGAGCGTCAAACTTGCTAATGCCCATTGCTCAGGATATGCATATGCGCCCTCCAAATAAGGATCCATGTACGCCCCTCCACCCCCCTCCCCCCCCTTTTTTTTTAATTCCGGCTCAGTCTTTCCCTGGTCCTCGATAGTCCTGGTCTGGAAGATACAAATGTCGCTGAGCGCCCTTCGCCGTCAGAACCACCATTCGAATGACACCTCCCGAGCTGCCGTCCCATTTGATGGCCTCTCTCAGCGCTCCCTTCACAAATTGGATTCCTTCTTCTTCTGTCATGGATTCTTTCCAGTGTGCATCACAGTAGCCGTAGATGTACGTCGATCCCGAACCGGCAATAGCGTACGGTCCTTTGTGCAATGATCCGCCTAGAGGTATCGAATAGACTTGTCCCCCGTTCCGCTTATCGTAACCGGCAATAATGATGCCAGCACTGGATGCAAGTCATGTCAGTCAAGGCTCGAGGACGATATGATTCTGTCAATCTCACCTCAATTGGTCCTTGTTGTCGTAGCACAGTTCTTGAAACAGCGCAGCAGCGGTTTGCGTGGTGGGGGCCTCGTTGTTCATGATCCCATAGATTCCGAGATGGTATTGAACAATATCGGCTACAGCTTGAGTATCGGCTGCAGACCCTGACCGGCAGCACCAGATGGTGTCGTGTACTTGAGTGAGCTTGTCCGTCACTCGATTAGCAATGTAGGCCCCTGTCGTTGTCCGACTATCTGCTCCGAGAATGACCCCGTCCTTGAAATTGATGGCCATAATTGATGTACCCAGGTTGACTTCTCCAGACTTGAGGTGGTTCATGTCGACATGGATTCCATCCTCTCCAAGCATGCCAGTGCCTGGGCCGATCATGACTGCAAAAATTGAGAGGGTGGTATGGAACGTTGGATATGTATGCGGACGGTTCTGAAGCTGGCGTGTGTTGGGTTATGGCGCGAGGATTCGCAGTGAACGAGGATAAATGCGAGGCGGATATATGGATGGTGAAGCTGCGCTGCACGGGAAGGCAGAACTAGCAAACGCGTCTACTCAATCAAACTCGGCGGTAAAGCTGTGGGCGGGAAGGGGCTTGCCTAGCACATACAGCAAGTGCAGCAGACCTCGTACGGGGGGGATCAAGGCTTAATTAGACGCCACTTGGCGCTCCACGCGGCTACGCTCGCCAAAACTGCCAAACACGGCAGGGACGGTGTAACTGGCGCAACCAAGGTGTCAACCTCTCCAAAACCTGAAGGGACGCTTGCCGCCCTGCTCCCCAAGGCATGAGCTCCAAGATTCGTGCCTCCTAGAGCCAATTCACTCTTTCTCCCTCGGTTCCTAGATATACAGCTGCATTTTCATCCTAGAAGTTTGGATCGTCATTCTTAGAGTATCCTACAGGTTTCCTTGCTGGATGTTTTCGGTCCTCAGATCATTCCTCCCCCCGCAGTTAAATCACACTCTGGCCAGGCTGCGCTTGGATGAAGCTGTCGCCATGACCTCTTCTTACCTCTCCTGGTTGCGGATCCCCGTCTTCGCGACGTCAGGTCTCGCAGCTCTCGGTAGCAGCCTCCTCTATTTTAAGCAGAATGACATAATCTACCCTGCAAATCTGCCCGCCGGTTCAAGGACGAACGTGGACTCCCCTGAGAAGTATGGTATTCAGAATGCCGATTCCATCATGTTCCCCACGCCCGACGGCGAGACGCTCCACGCCTACCTCCTGCGCCCTTCCAATCCCTCGCTGAGAAAAAACATCACCCTGGTGACCTTTCACGGCAATGCTGGCAATGTTGGCCATCGCCTTCCCATCGGCAAGGTCCTATCCCAGAGTTTGGGCTGCCATGTGTTCATGGTCGAATATCGAGGTTACGGGTTGTCGACTGGCTCACCGAGCGAAGATGGACTCTCCATCGATGGACAAACAGCCCTCGACTTTGTCCGAAACCATAACGAGCTGAGAAAGACCAATATCGTTCTGTACGGTCAAAGTCTGGGTGGTGCTCTGGCAATCAAGCTCCTGCAGACGAACTATCAAGTCGGCGATATTTCCGCCGTTATCTTGGAGAACACCTTCCTGTCCATTCGCAAGTTGATTCCATCGGTCATGCCAGCCGCGAAATACCTTTCGTACCTCTGTCACCAGCGGTGGGATTCAGAACAGAGCCTCGCCAAGGTGGAAGATGCAGGAATCCCGGTCCTGTTTCTCTCCGGTCTACAGGATGAGATCGTACCGCCATCCATGATGAAGACCCTGTTCGATCAGTGTCCCACCACCAAGGTGTGGAAAGAATTCCCCAATGGTGACCATAATTCGACCGTGGCAGAGCCAGGGTACTTCGAATCGATCTGGGGATTCCTGGTTCGGGACGTTCTGAGAGGTGAACGGGAAGGGAAGCACACGAGAGCGGATGTCGATGTCGACAGCGACCAACTGCGGAGCGAGCCTGTGGGCGAATGAAGGCACAGCCGCCTTCATGATATTCTCTCGGCTTCGTCGACCAGTTCTTCCAGGCTGAATCCCTGGTCACCTTTGCTGAATTTCTCCAAAAGTCCTTGCCGCTTTTCACGTCCAATGCCCCCTCCGTGACCTTCATAGTCATAGAACTTTTGGAGGCACATCAAAAGCCACCGACCTTCTTCGACACTCACACCTCGCCCTTTGACAACAGATCCGTTCAACAAAACCAGGCCATGTGTGTCCGCAAGGTCGAGATGATGTGTGATTGTCGTGTGTGGTTGAGCATAGGTCCCATGAAGCTTAAAAGCAGCTAAGTGCGTGAAGAGCACAGTACTGGTGTGGGTATTTGCAGTCGTCACCCCCGGACTTAGGGGAACGCCCGCAGGAGGATGGAACCCCCATTGCAGGAAATGAATATCGGCAGCAGATCGTTGTTCGCTACCTTCGAATCCCTCAGTCGATTGTTTCAGATCGCCACTACCATCCTCGGCAACGGGGCGCGGTAAGGGAAGGATGAATTGTGGGTGCCTTCTCGCCGTGCGGTAGATACGATTATATGTTTCCAATGGTATGACAGCACAAAGGGATAATGGGTCGTTTGCGTGTCGAAGCCGCCAGATATATTCCACCTCTTTGTTGGGGAGGGAAGACACCTTTTCAAGGTCAAGATACGAGGAAAGAGGTTTTATTCCCGGGGCACCAGAAGCTTGGTTTGCAGACTTTGCTTGTGGACTAGATGGTGGTGATGTTGACTGCTGAGTAGGTATGGGAGGCGGAGGTGGTTGGAATGGAGAGTGTTGCGTCTGCTGGCCTTGGCCTATAGGTGTAGATGGGGGTGCGGCATTGGCTGCACGCTTGTAGTCTTTGATTTTATCCTTGTACGCTTCCGTGAGAGAGGATATGGAATCATGCCCTTCGCTGAATGTAAACACAGTAATTAGCCCAACTTGCACGAGAGAACAGCCAGCGCCTCAGACAAGGTCCTCTACCGAGCGTACGTTCCCCTTCCGACTTCATCAACTTCAGCAGCACTCTACCCCGGCGGCGTATTGGCAGGGGTCCATGTGGCAGACTTACTCCTTCGCTTTCTGCTCCAGTTTATGCCTATACCGATCCAAAATCTTCTCTTGATTTCTATGCGTGGTTACGAAGCGGACATCGTGGACGCGAGCCCAGCGCCGCTGGGTCTCCAGAAGCGAGCGACACGCGGGGAGAGCTAGCGGGTGTCGCAGGGCGATTCCTCGAGGAAGAAACATAGTTTATGGCAGGGCGAGCTCAGAGGACGGCAGACCAGATGGGAGAGGGAGAAAGCGCAGTAGCAGGACGGGAGACAGGCAGGGTTAGGAGGAGATGGAAGACGAGGCGAATTGAAGCTCTCGTAAACCTGTGTACAGTACCTCGTACTACTCCCGAATGCAAAAGAATCAGTGATTGATGCAGGCGATGGAGCGCTCCGATTGGCCAATGGGAAAGTTTTCTCGGTGCGGTGGAGCGTTTGACGCGCCCGAGACACACGCTCTTCTACGAACGTCGTCACTGTCTGTCGCTCACATGTCGCTAGCGATCAAATGAGAACACTGCAAACGTCGATACTGTATCGTAAAGTGGAAATGACTGTCACAATACCGAGAACATCCAACGCGACATGCACGACCACACTACCGAGTACAGAGTACAGAGATGTCATTATATTGAACAACAAATTGTGCTTTTAATGACACTCCAAGGTGCGATTCACCAGACCGAGCCCTTCCCACATAGAAACGCCTCGCTAAATTTCAGAATCCTTGAGTATTCCAATTGCACTATTATGGCTGTTATAGTGCACTTCGGACCCAGCCCACGGAAGTTCGAGCGGCACGAAGCATCCCCATATACACGCCTATCGTCGACATCCGCCTTTTACTTCCACAGTCTTGTGGATAACACTGCGAGGCTTAACCTCGTCCGTGGATTCTTGAATCCGGTCCAGTTTAGTGTCGACCAAGTGGTCAGCTCAAACAATTCAGAACTCGGAGACGTGAGGTTCTATTGCCAGCTCTGAAGAACGATCGACGCTTCTGGGTGACGCCTTTCAGTCTCTCGGAATGAATGTTCCGCCGCCGACTACCGTCAACGTACCCTTGAGCGGGGTGTGGCCTGATCCATCCTCGACAACTTCATTCCAAGAGCCGGCTCTAACCAAAGGACCAGAAAATTGTTGATTAGATTTTATGTTTTCTTTTGAAGATCATCGCCGATATGAATCTGAGGCATCGCGGTAATGCCCAGCTGGTAGGTGCGTGTGCTGGCTGCTTGGAGGGCGCTGGCTCTGCTTCGCGACTTCGGCCGTGGGTGAGAAAAACAGCGACGGCACACTTGAGAATGACCTTGGCAGTTTGGTCAGGTCTGCCATATCGTGTGAGGATGGTATTGCTGGATTCTTTTTGATGTCTGCGAGTGGTGTGTAAGCGGCACCATTTGCGGCACCACTGCTGGCGTCGCGTCTAAAGGTGCGATTTATGGACCAGGACATGAGAATTCGCCAGCCGATGATGAGGACAGCTACAAAGCCCAGCGCAGCGCCGACGACGATAAAGACGAAATTTTCAGGCAGATTGGAACTGGCCAGGTAAGGAGCGCCGGCCTTGGGAGGAACGGTAGGAGGGGGATAATTGAAGCCCCCGGGAAGGGTTGGAAGTGCGCTGTTGGTGACCATGGTTCGTGTTTAAGATGGAGGTGCCGATATTGTCGGAAGAGATGTTGTATAATAGAATGATTTCGATCTGAAATAAGGAAAGATAGCGAGAGGATGAAGGTCAGAAATCGGATCGAAGGAGTGAAAGGGTGACGACTGGTGTGGTGTACGTGAGAGGTTTCAGATCTCGCTTTTCAGGGAGGCGCACCCCCAAGGCCACGGGCTCGATACCCCCTGCAAGTCTGGTTCAAACGCTCCCTTGGTTATTTTGGGGCTGTGGCACGCGCTAAACGCTCCTGGGCTAGGCATCTGTGCAAGGGATAACGTGAGCGATTGTGGCTGGGAAGCGGGACGAGCGGGACATGGAATTCTCTGGTGCCACCAATGCTTCGAGAAGAACTGTAATGGTCAGGGCTGCACTCGGTTAATCCCGGCCTTAACTTTTCTCGCTTGTGGTTATGCCCGTGGGCTCGTCAACGATTTTTCTCCTACACACAACCACTGCGACAATCTCAAGCTCAGCAGCTCTGCGTTGACCGTTCGCTCAAAATGGGGGCCCATAAGAAGACGCGCAAATTCCAGGTCAAAAAAATCATTGGCCAGCGAGATGCTCGTCTCAAGAAAAATCAAGCGACTGGCAAAGTGGCAGACTCCAAGAAGAAAACAGACGACAACGTGATCCGAGAAGCGTGAGTGAGCTCGGAGATGCAGCTCAGAAGAATAGCCCGCTAACAGGAACAGGCCGCAAGTGTCGTCTTCTCTGTTCTTCCAGTACAACACCGCCCTGGTCCCGCCTTACAATGTCCTCGTCGATACCAACTTCCTCTCCCATACCGTGCAGAAGAAACTTGAACTGTTATCGACAATGATGGATTGCCTCTACGCAAAGTGCATACCGGTCATTACCGATTGCGTAATGGCCGAACTTGAAAAGCTTGGGCAGAAGTATAGGATTGCCCTGCGGATAGCAAGAGACGAAAGATGGGAGCGACTAAAATGCGGCCACAAAGGCACCTACGCCGATGACTGCATCGTCGACAGAGTCATGAGGCACAAGATCTACATAGTGGCTACCAATGATAGAGACCTGAAGAGGAGAATTCGAAAGGTGCCTGGTGTACCTATCATGAGTGTGGCCCGTGGGAAATATGTCATTGAGAGACTTCCTGGTAAGTTCAACCATAAGAACATATCCCATGGCCTGTCCACCTTGCAATATGACCCCTTGCGTCCTGAAATCTTCGTAAATTTTGCGTATTGATGGCTAACCAACTTCCCAAATAGATGCTCCAGAGAAGTGAAAGGCTCAAGCGCCCTTTTCCTGCCCCACGAGACAGTCCAACGTTCCCTAGTCGATTTTGTCGAGAATATGAGTCGCTTATTGCCAGCGCTGTGATAGTCAAGCCCTACATCTCCACACCTTCCACACCGATTCCAATATCCAAGCGAGCAGAGCCAGCGAAACTGCGCTCAACAGGACCATGGCAGCGATCACCTTGCTTCGGATTTGAAAAGCGTCGTCCATTTCTCGCTTAGCCAGTTTGCGCTGGTGAGAATGGTAATATCCATCTTGGCTACCGGATCGAGCGAAGATGCTGCCATAAGTTTGGCGGTCGATGAGGAACAGCGATATCAGAAACGATACGAACAGGATCGGTGCAACAATCAAGCGGCTGAGGACAGATTCGGGGACAGGCGCCGAATCGGAGCCAAGTGGAGCACTTTTTTTTGCCGACATGCTCAAAAAGCCGTATCCTCAAGTTACGGGTCGGTGGATGCTGGTGGTAGTAGCCGCGAGGCGTCACTCCAGATTTCACATAAGGTTGGCTTAAAGATTGACAACCTTCCAGGCTCTGAAGCTGGAGGTATCGGGGCAGAAATGTGTGTCGCGTGGGATGCTGCCTGGATGCAGTTTTGAGGACCAAGCGGGCAGTGTTCGCTTAGTAACACCAGTTGGGCAGCGTCATTTTTTCTGCTTGACTATCTGGAGAGGCCTCACAAAGAGAAAGTCATCAAGTTGCAACGGATTCGGTGCATCAGAGCACAGTCAGAAAGTGATCGGTCAAGATTATTCAGGATGTGGCACTCGAAAGGCATGCTTCTGTGTCGGATCAAGGCGGGAATTGTGGTAGCGACATTTGCGGGCCACGGCAAAGCTGCCCTCCAAATCGTCAGGCAAGCAGCAAAGCAAATGACGACCCCATGTTCCATAATACGAGCGCGCCGCATGCGCGAATTGACAGTTGCCTTGAGTTGCTTACCGCAGACACCATAAACTACGCCTTGGAATTATGTCATGCTCGCACAGCAGGGTCAAACTCGGATTTCCGCGAATCTGCTGCCCCGGGTTCACCGGGTAAAACGTCTAAGGCCGCTACTCTAACTTGTTCATTGCGTGCTTTACCGAGCCTCGTGCTAGAGTTGGAAGCACTCATGATCAGACGCGACTCTGAATTTTCAAAGGGTGCCTCCCTCGTAGCCTTGTCTCGTCTCGAAGCAATCCTCTATAAATATCGTGCCGCCAACCATTCACTCGCGCTTCCGTTCCCGCTAAGTCTCATCTCAGCCCGTCCGTGAATTGGCAATATCCAAGACCAAAATATCCGTCGCGCCCACTCCGGTCAACTCATCCATGACCGTCGCAATGTGCTGCTTCTCAACCATGGAACTCACGGCGACCCAGTCCGGCTGTTCCAATGCTGTTATCGTAGGAGCCCGCTTGCCGGGGGTGATTTTAGTCGCATCCGCCAATCTCGTTCGTGGCACGTTATACTGACAGAGGATATACTTCTGCGCGGTAATGACCCCTCGTATCCGTGCAGCGATCTTGTTGACAAGTTGTTCATTCGAGACGGACTTGGACTTGATCAATACGGCCGTGCTCTCAACCACCGTGTCGATCGCTTTTAGTCCCGCGGCCCTCATGGTCTCCCCTGACTCAACTAGGTCGACGATTCCGTCTGCCACACCTAGCGCGCAAGCCGCCTCGACACTGCCGCCCACAAATTTGATCTTGGTCTTCAGCTTCGGAATCGGACTGGCCGTGCCGTTTATACTCTCCTTACGCCCACCCATCCCTTCTAGGCGTGCGAAGTAATCCTCGGCAAGCCCCGTGAAACTCGTCACGATGTTCTTGCCAACCAGATCCTTCACATCTTGGACGAAACCCTTCTCGGGAACTTGGACTTGCAGTTTACATCTCCCAAATCCCAGGTCCATGATTTCTTCCACTCCCGACTCCTCACCTAGAGCTAGATGGGCGTCATGCTCGGCGACTTGATCTCGTCCCGTGATTCCTAGATCGACTCGTCCTTCACCCACGAATGTGGGAATGTCTGCGGCGGGCAGGAAAATAAGTGCTAGTGGATGGTTCTTTACTAGGGCGATGTCGAGTCTGGTCTCTCGCCGGAATTGAATGTCAGATCCCGTGAGAAGGTCGAGCGTCGCTGCTTGAAGGCGACCCTTTTTGGGTACAGCGAAGAGCAGCCGGTCGGAGAGGTGATTGACGAGATCCATTTTCAGTTTTATCGACCGGTTAGCGGATTGGCGCTCGTTTTCCTTTTTCTAGTGTTGGCAGGATTCTTCTCAATGTGAAAATCTTCCGCTTTTCTATTTAGTGACACAAAGGAAAAGTTTTAAGCCCTAGCAGACTTGGTGTGTAGGAGAACAGTGAAGGAGAAACAGTTAGGCGAAACTCAACCTATGTGAAGACTCTCATCGAGTGCTTCCAGCAGTCAAATCTCACCGACTTACCTGTAACATTCCGCATCTCCATCGCTGGCAGAGTCGAATTGAGTCAACCCATCTCATCGGAAAAATTTCAGGCCGATGTTTAGCCGATGGTATTCTTGGCAAGTTTGCGCCCACATTGCACCAACTGCGTTTGACATCTTTTTCGCGGCGCTCATTTCCAACCAGCAGGACATCAATCAAGCCACCGCGAATCTACAACTCCAAACCCATTATCCCCGTTCCAGTCGATACTATCGCCTAGTTAAAGATGGATGCGGCAGGCAAAGTCCCCGTCAAACTCGTCAAAGTCACCCGAGTCCTCGGCCGAACAGGTAAGTTAAATTCCAAATATCCCTACGTGGTTGTCGCAGGTCCCTTTCAACTCACTCGTGTCTGTTTTCCAGGCTCCCGAGGTGGTGTCACCCAAGTGAGAGTCGAATTCATGGACGACACGAGCCGAAGCATCATTCGAAATGTCAAAGGACCAGGTACGTGAGACCTCAGCCGGAGAATATTGAACGCGCAAAAGTTTCAGTGGGCAGAAATAACTGATGGTTGTTTTGTGGGAATACAGTGAAAGTCGATGACATTCTGTGCCTGCTCGAGTCCGAGAGAGAAGCAAGAAGATTGAGATGATGGCTTACTGTGGAGGGTGGAGTGAGGCAATGGAGTGAGGCAATGGAGGTTATGGAGCGGCTGAAAATGAGAACAATGACAAGCATGGGAAGAGTTACGATACTTCGGAGAACGCAAATTTCCCCGGAAATCGCGGTTCCGGTTCGATTGGCACTGAGAAGCGAACGCCCTCGGTCGAGCATTTTCATGGGCTGGGAAGGCTGCTCGGCAGCAAAGCATGCGGCAGTACCACTGATTTAAAGTCATCAAGAACTATTCAAGACCATATTGGGACCTGACCCAGACTCCTTCCCTTTACAACCATCGATTTGAGCTGGGAACTTGTAGAGACTCGAAGAGCGTGCTCAAGGTTTGACACTCCAAAACACCCGATACCGTACAGGATATGCCTCGTAGTCCCCTTGTAATCTTACGAAGCATTCCGATAGAATGCACACACAGACGTTGTTCCCATTCATCACGTTGCCCGATCGAGCCAAGACTCAGCCTTGCGTGCCGTGTGGCCCACTGGCAGCGAACCAAACCCGGCCTTGGCAACCTCGCCGCCTTAGTAAGAGGTTCAAGGCTTCACCTCGCTACGTGGCGAGGCCCCAGACCCTGACAGAATCCTAGAGAGCATCCCGTCTCGGCAGTATCGATGACGAGCATGCTGCTGCCTCCCCACTGATGCTGGATCCTTTTACTGAGTGTCTTCATTATCTTGAGTCACGGAATCGCGGATATCTCAACTCACTTCATGCTTCCGTCCGACAATTCAGGAATTAATCCAATCATTGCTCAAACCAAGGAGATTCCTCCTCGAGTGGTCTTGTAAACGTCCCGTCTTGCTGCAGCTCCTTTTTAGATGATGAGAGGGATACCCTAGACCAACCCCTTCTTGAAAGAACGACCATGGCATCACAACAAACCGCTCCTGATGCGGAGCGGGAATATAAGCTAATCTCCCAACTCGAGATGCGCATCGCCTCCGCGTCGACAGATGAGAAACTGGAGTCCATTCTCAAAAAGTTCCTCCCAGCTCTACTTCTAAAGCTGGCCTCTCCGACTCCTCGAAACCGCAATCTGGCAATCAAAATCTCCCAGTACATCAACCAACGGCTGAAGATCACCTCGACCATCAAGATACCTGTGACGGCGTTGGTCAAGACGTTTCGCGAGAACGACAACGCCTTTGTCAAGCGATTTTGTCTCGTTTTTATTGAGCAAGGGCTTCCGAGGCTGGAATTGGACCAGGGAATCGAGACACTGCCCGGGGTATTGCAGTTCGCCATACCGAAAGCCGGAGAATTCGATGCTACAGATCGGAAAATGTGGGCTATCGCATTCGACTTTCTCCTCGAAGTCTTGCGGAAATGGAAGATCCCGGAGCGGGGTAGCAAGGAAGACCTGGCTCTTTCTGAAACCTTCGCCCTGTCGACGACGCAGGCAGATTTGCTTGCCAGCCGTTTGTGCGATTTCTTGCTTTACGACCCAAAAGACTCTTCCACTGGTCGAGCCCTAGACGAGGATTTCCAGCCTGTCATGGAGAAGAACTTTAACCACCGCTCAGAGATCGCCTTGCCAATTGCGAAGTTCCTGTTTACCTCCATCTTCACCGACGAACAACGTCTCATGCCTGCCACTATCATGTCTGTAGACCCCAATGCCTCAGCGGCAAATATGAGCGATGTTATGTTCAAGCAATGCAACTTCGACCTGGAATCCGAGTCGGCGATTGACATGCTCTTCGGCCTTTACAAACAGTCCAAGCCCAAGCTTCAAACACGGATCTTAGGCTTGTTATCTCGCAGCCAGAATTCCTCCAGGCGCACCAAGCAGGTTATGGAGATTGTCGAGAAACAGCTCACAAGCACACCCAACGCGGGTCTAGAGGCGGCAAAGCTCCGAGCCGCTTTATTCTCCTATCTAACATGGACGGTGCGCGTTGGCGGCCAACATCTTGCCGGAGAAATCAGCCACCGCATACAGGACTTGTTGAAAGAATACGTTGAAATGCAAGGATGGCCGACAATGAACAGCGACCACTCCGCAACCTCATCGGAGGTGGAACTTCGTTCGAAAGCGTATGAGAGCATCGGCCTCCTCGCAGGTCTCAAAACGGAAGCCACGGACAGCAGTCGAATGGTGGTTCTGATTACGTGGTTTTTTACCAGCCTTCGCTGTGATACGACACGTGAGATAAGAAGCAGCATCGAAGAATCGATCGGGCGCATCATGAATGCTCTCCCGATCCTCGACGAACCGTCAACTGCAAGTCACCTAAAAGACCTCTTCTTGTGGAACGTCTTAGCATCACCAGGCCAGGAAGACCCCATCTACTTCCTACCAACGGTCAACAGCACGACCTATCCGGCCGTACGATTTGCGAACAAATGCCTACCGTTTAATGACGTGGATGCTCGGTTTATCGACGTCCTGGCTTTGGCCTCAGCAAGCGGAAGAAGAGAGGTAGCTGAGGAAGGAATTAGGGGATTGGATCCGTATTGGCATGCTTCAAATATGCGCCTCACCGCCGCTTCTGGTGATGGCAAGCTCGAGCTCCCCAAGCTCGGTGCGCTGGTGGAGAGGTTCTTCAAGACAGATGCGGCGCAGATGAAATACTATGACAATCCAACAGTGCTGGCCGCTGCGGTGACATTTTGTCGGAACATCCTACTCTGCGAAGCCTTACGTGGGACAGGACTCGTTCCTGAGGAATCGGTGGATTGGAAACGGACTATCGACGCCTTGGTTGACAATGATCAAGACGCACGACGACGAATACGGGCTCATTTGCGAAACCTAAGCGGTGACATGCTATTACCATTGATGCTCGCGGCATTAGATGGTGTATCCAAGGCGTCTGAGGAGTGTCTGCGTTTATCTCTTGAGCTCCTCTCTCTTGCTCCGAACGACTTGTTGTTCCACCTCAAGGATTCAGGACTCGAGGCAGCTTCACGTGTTGCAGCGAATCCAGGCTTGCAGCTTCGAGCTGCTCGGATTTTCAGCATTCTTGCTTCTCTGGATGACAACGCCGAAGACTTTGCGAAAGCCGAGTTGAATGAGGCCAAACATTGGAAAACGGCTGTTGGAGAAGAACTGATAAAGATTCAAGGCCATCTCCTCCGCGCATGTTTCTGTCTCACGAGGAGATCGCTCAGGCTGAAGCTACAGGTATCCCCTGAGACTTTACGCCATACGGCGGAGACGGTTATTGAGATTGTCAAGACTTCTTCCGACAGGTCAGTCAAGGACGCTGCATACAGGTGTCTCCGTCAATTGGCTCTCTGCACTGCAACCGAAAATGGAACAAATGACGAAGATTTGTTGAGTCAATTGATCGCGGACAGCAAGAAAGAGAGCGAAACAGCAGTTTCGGCCGCAGGACCAGTACTTGGGATCTTGCATACGCGGGGCACCAATGTTTCCCTGTTTAATTCGTTCCTGGATCGATTGTTGGGGCTTCACGAAGTTAAACGAGCGGAGTTTCACTTCGCGTTAGGAGAATCCCTTGCTGTTGCTTGTGCCGGGTTCAGATCGCTGTCCACGCTGGCAGAACTTGACGTTGACGCTGATGTTTCCGAGTTGGATGTCAATGAACGGCTTCTGATCGCTGTCCTTGACAAGGTCCTTGGGGATTGCAACACCACAAAGCCATCGCTCAAGAAGGCCGCTGCAATCTGGCTATTATGTATCATCCAATACTGCGGCGAGTTACAGGCTGTTAAAGTGCGGCTTAGAGAATGTCAAGCTGCCTTTGCCAGATTGCTGAATGACCGCGACGAGGTCGTCCAAGAGACCGGTTCCCGGGGTCTCAGCCTCGTCTATGAGCGGGGTGACAAGCAACTTCGAAACGACCTGGTTAGGGACCTGGTCCAAAGCTTCACGGGCAGTAATGCCAAAATGTCCGGCACGGTCAATGAAGAAACGCAGCTCTTCGAGCCTGGTGCGCTGCCCACCGAAAATGGACAGTCTGTTACGACTTACAAAGATATCGTCCGTCTTGCCACGGAAATGGGAGACCCGAGTCTGGTGTATCGTTTTATGAATCTGGCCTCGAACAATGCCATCTGGTCAAGTCGTGCAGCGTTTGGGAGATTTGGGCTTGGCAGTGTGCTGGCAGATTCCACATACCTGACAGAGAACAAGAAGTTTTATCCTAAGCTTTTCCGGTACAGATTCGACCCGAACCCCAATGTCCAACGGTCTATGAACGAAATTTGGCGCGCACTGGTCAAGGATCCGAACGCCGTCATCAAGGAGAACTTTGACCTGATTATGGAGGATCTGTTGCAGAGTGTTGTGTCTGGCAAGGAATGGCGAGCCCGCGAGGCCAGCTGTGCTGCAATCTCCGATCTCGTGCAGGGGCGAGACGTTGACATGTTTGAAAAGTACCTTGATGAGATTTGGCAGGTGGCTTTCAAGGTCCTGGACGATGTCAAGGAGACAGTTCGAATGGCAGCTATGAAACTTTGCAGGACATTGACAAGTATGCTGATTCGCAATCTGGAAATCGGGGAAGGACAGTCGAAGCGCTCCGCGACCATGCTCAATCACGCCATGCCGTTCTTGCTGCAACAAATGGACAGCGGCGCGGCTAAGGAAGTGCAACAATATGCTATTGTAACGCTTTTGGAGGTGGTGAAGAAATGTCCTCCAAAATCTCTGCGCCCCTTTGCACCGTCAGTTTTGGAGACTCTTGTGCTTTCCCTTAGCTCTCTTGAACACGAGAGTATCAACTACCTACATTTGAATGCCGACAAGTATGGATTGACCGCCGACAAACTGGACAAGATGAGAGTTTCGAGCATCAACGCATCTCCAGTTACAGAGGCAATTGAGGACTGTTTGGAGAGCGTTACCATGTTAGTTGACTCCAAGGACGACCCCAATGCCATGCAAGGGGTCATATCGAGTTCACACATGGAAGGAAGCCTTGCAGTGATGGATGATACAATGCAACGGCTTACAAATGCATATCGAGCCGCGATCGGACTCCCATCCAAAGTCGGCCTGAGCAGAGTCATGACCACGCTAGTTGTTCGCCATCCAACGGCTTTTCGGCAATACGCAGATCGGTTCATACAGTTGACGCGGAAACACATTCTCGACCGCAACGCCACGATCAGCGTTGCCTTCAGTACCTCACTAGGCTATTTGATGAGACTGGCCTCGGACAAGGAGATCCAAGCTACTAGTAAGTACGCACAACGGTTGTATTTCGAGTCGCAGGAACTAAGCCATCGTTCTGTGGCCGGCGAAATCATCCAGGCGATTTCAAAAGCTGCCAATGACGTTTTCATGAACTTTGCCTCGACCTTTCTCCCATTTGCTTTCATTGGCCGACGGGACACTGACAAGGAGGTCAAGGAGACCTTCGATGTTCCTTGGAAGGAGAATATTGGTGGCTCTCGTTCCATTAATCTCTATCTGACCGAGATTGTGGGACTCATATCGGCACATATTGGATCCCCTCTGTGGCCAATTAAGCAAGCTTGCTGTTTGGCAGTCGCTGAATTGGTGGCGTCGATGGAGGTACAAGGACAGTTCTCGGACAGCGATGCATCTCTCATCTGGGGGGTGATGCAAGCAGCCCTGGATGGGAAAACCTGGGATGGCAAAGAAGAAATTATCAAAGTGTATCCCAAGTTTGTGCGGGATGCTCAGTCACTGTGGTCCGACATCCAGACCAGCCAGCAGATGAAGAAGATTGCCATCCGCGAAGCGAAGCGGACCAACATTGCTTACCGACCCCATGCCATTGAGGCTCTTGGAGAGTTTGCTGTCGCTCGAAAAGATCTGGACCTCAGCCACGAGGTCCTGCCTTATCTGGCGGAGTTGACGGATGAGCTGACGAACCAGGATGCCATGGAGGTTGACGAGGCTAATGGGAAGTCCCTGAAGAATCGGTGAGACAGCCCCGCTCGTGCATAGACTTGCCACTAACAGTAAGAATATAGCGATCAGACCGTTGGTGTTGAAGCGACGGTGAGCGCTGTTGTGTCTTGCATGTTTAGGATGCTTTCAACTCATACCCACCCCGAGAGTCTGGACTGGGCGACGAAAATAGTGCAAAAGGCCCATGCCATCCGATCCAGCACACTCGACATTGCACTATACGACAGTGCAAAATTTTTTGTCGTCAATGGGCCAAAATCAGAGAAAGTGGATGGTGATGGCCGTGAACGTGAAGGCTCTGACGACAAAAATACCTCAGCCTCAAGCCTGGCAACAGCCTCAGCAATACCACGGTCGTCGGCGCGGGAGGGTTCGGAGGTGGACGGTCGAACGGCTTGTGAGACATTTCAGCCCCTGGTCATGGCGGTGCTCGCCTATCCACCGGAACCTTGGCGAGAACCGGAACGTGCGCGAAAATCACGTGTGGAACTGGCTATCGCCCTGGCCCAACAAGGCATGCCTGACCCAGCAGCATTAGCGGCGATCCTCGACCCCTGGCTGGTCGAAGAACGGTCGAGGCCTTTACGTGAAGAAATCGGACGAGCTCGACAGGCTTGCAAACGTGACTAACAAGTAGGAGTTTGTTTTGGCGTCATGCAGCAACCCAAGCGTTGGGGACCTTCTTCCCTTGGGGTCGCGGGTTTGAATTCCGACCCCGGCTTATGGCAATTCAATTTGCTGCTCCGGTGCCAGACTGTTGGGACAACGTCACACCGTTGATCTTGATGCTGCCATAGGGCTGATTCATGAGAGTGCACGGACCAGTAGTCGCGGTATGCCTCGGTGTCACAAATTGAACCCTCCTCTTCGTCGGCGTCCCAAATTCACGGGCAGATAGTATGCGGTCGAATTTGACACCGCCGTTTCCGGTGGAGGAGGCGCGGTGGTCGGTACCTGTCTCCCAGTTTACCATGTTTCTGTCTTGCGGCATCCATCGCCCCTGAGTTTCCACCGATCGGTGGATGCAGTCCAGCGGGGGTATTTAGCGTCTTTACAGACTCTTAAGGCTGGGGACCTCGGCCCTAATTGACTTCTCCACAAAAGGTAAATGTCGAATTCGACGACACATGGTTTTCAAGCTCGGTTCAGTGCTGGGTAGTATGGATTTTTAGCCCTGGCCGTGCATGTACTGGTGCCCGAGGGAAGGTAAGCGAGAAGTCAGATTACCTAGGTCCTAGGATGAGCGGACGGAGTGGCGTTCTCTGGGACCAAAGCCGATGAGCTTGTTCACCCCAGTAGCTCCTTTTCCTGTTCAGAGCAAAGTTGGGAAGACGGAAGATTTCAAGACTGGATTTTGAGGACGAGCTCGTGGACTCCGATGGGCGGATTTGACTCCCGGCTGGCCCCCACCAGACCATTGCGCTAGGAGAGGTTGTTCTGCCGGAGGAACAAAAATCCGCATTGGGAATTGTGAGAGTCGTCGACATTCGCACAGCAACAACCAAGAAGACAGGGTCGAAGTTCAAGCGGTCAGAAGAACAGTGGGAATGTACTATGTACCAGCCTGGTAAACAGAACCAGAAAACAGACTTGCAGATGCAAAGCAGGGACCAAAGACGCAGGTCGCCACCTTTACCACCACTTTTTTTTTTCCGGGTGGTCAAGGTGGTGCACTTCCTTGGCTTCCCACCCATTTGGCTCGTGCCGCAGTCGGCCATTGAAGGACCCAATCGCATCGAGGCCGGAGGATCTTTCGGGGTCTCTGTTTTTCCGTTCCGAGAAAGTTTTTCCGGAGGACCCGCTTCGCCCGCCCTACCACGGCTTACCAGGACACCATCTCCATTTCCTCCTCTCCACTCGATTGCATATCCCTTTCTTCCACGGCTCGAAACCCAATCTTCTGACCCTTGCCCACTGCCCATTGGGAACTTTGCTTCCGTGCAGTCACCGCAAATGCCTTTGCTGTCTCAAGCTTCGGGTCTTCTTCTTGCTAGGACCTCTTTTTTTTGTCTGGCAGATGGATCTATCCCTCGATGCCGGAAGCTCCCCTCCTGCATCTACTGTGGGACTCCAATCAGTCCCGATGACCAGGGCAGATGCTTTGCGCACAATGACATCGTGATTGCGTTCAACTAATAAACCCGGCCATACCATGACTCCTCAAGGGACCAGGGATGGACTGTTTCGTTCTTCAATCCAACGTCCTCCACTTCTCGACATCCTTTTCAAAGTCCCGTTCGCCTTCCTCTCAAGCATGGTATAGCGACAGGCCTGGAACCTCGACCTCTTCGTTTGCCAAGGTACCGTGGAGGACGTGCCTCGCTGCTGCTCCTGGTTTTGCCTTATTTCCTTCACTGAGCGACCCTCTTCTCTGTCGTCCTCTCCGCCGCCTCCAATCTACGGCCGCTCCTTGCCCTTCCCTTGTTGCCACACGGACTCCTCGAACCTGAGATTGAGGCACTAATGCATGCGGCCTGACATGCGTCTGTAGCCTTGAACAAATTGTGCGCCAGCTCCTCTCGATTATTTGCGCAACATTCTTCATGTTCACGACGACTACGCTGGTAATGCCAGTCGAAAAGCGAGAGGAGGCCTTGAGAAGACCGCCACTGCGCCTCCCTGTGATTGCGCCTAAAGAAGACCAGTCTTCCTCGGCTAGTTCCAGCCGCAGTGGCCCTAGTGTCCCTCCACGTTCCCGCCTACCTCCACGTTCAAGAAGCGGCTGCTGGACCTGTCGGTGAGTGGTGCACTCAAACTTGACCGTCTTCCGTGTTAATCGTGGAAACAGTCATCGCAAGGTCAAATGCGATGAAACCAGACCTCTCTGCGGTCCATGTTCTCGTCTGAACCTCAGCTGCGACTTCAACCCTCGCGTCGCGTTTCGAGATGATACCTCTCGAGTTCTAGGACGCAATGCGGATGTTACCATCGCCGCCAGTCCAGTATGGGATCGTGAGTCTCCTCCCCTCCCTTCGACCACACGTTCTGGAGAATTTGCTAATTTTTAATCTTTTGGGGCTGCAGCCAATTCTCCTGCGCTGACCGAAAATAGCGCTGGATCTGCCGTGGTGGACGACCTCCCGCCGTTCGCTAGCCTAACCACAGATGAGGACCGCGAGAAGAAGGCGGAGACGTCGAGTCCTGGAACGTACAACGTCGTTGTGGGTCCAGAGAGCTTTCAACACCTCCCAGAATACAACGACGAGCCCGAAATCAAACGAGAACTGTTGCCAACTCTACGCCGAGGCTCCATCGCAACCTCGCTTGCGAGCAGCCTTGGTCGCGAAGCCGGCGTCGAGGCCATTCCACTCTCGGGAGACCCCAACACTGTTGTGTTACCTAGATTTCAAGACGTTAAACGGCGCAGTACCTTCAGCTCTAATCGGGCTCATTCACCGATATCACCCATAGTCCGATCTGCAATCATTAAGAGCGAGGCAATCATCAAGATCGAGGACCAAGAGGAAGCTGTGCTCTCCGAAGAATCGGACTCATTGAGCGAGACAGCTGGGGTGGGCCAGGAAACCCGATACCTGCGACAGTTTCGCCAGGTGGTTTGGAAACATTTAGTTCCAGCAGAGCTCGACCAGAGAGATGGCATGGTACGGTCAAGTGTCCACATTCTGGAACACGCCGCGAATAGTTTTCCTCCGGTGCGTGACTCTGTTGCAAAAAAACCCCCGAGCCCTGCTGATCCTTGTCACAGTTGCACCATGCAATGATGGCCGTCGCAGCCCTCAGTGTGGCCGTCCAAGACGGCAAAGAATGGCTTGACGCTCTCCAGTATTATCAGCAAGCTTTGCCTGCATTACAGTCCACTCTTCGAGGCCCCGACGACTTGTCGTCCGATGGAGCGTTTCTGACTCACTTCCTTCTACTGGTCTACGAGGTACGTCGAGGTTCTGGCAGCACGATCCCATGTTAACACTGCAAACGACAGATCGCCGCCGCCGAAGCCGAGCACTCGAATTTGTGGTCGCAGCACCTGTTGACCCTTCTACAAATCTCACTTTTACGCCGTGATGAATCAGGTCGCGAAGTATTTCCGTTTGTTGTGTGGTGGATTTGCCACATCGACCTTGACGCCCTTCTCAGCGGTGCCGGCAGTGGTGGATACGTCGAGTCCTTGTTGAACAACGATTTCATCCCTCCCCCGAGCTTCCACTTGTACCCACTTGGTCATGACGGTTCGAGCGTTCTCTACGCCGAAGAGGTGGAGGTTCTCCCTACTATCCTACAACTCGATTATGAGGTGAGTATTCTTGCGATCCGGATGGCATTACTCGCACGCGAGTTTCGGAGTGATATCACGTTCGACGATACGGATGTATTACAGAGAGACCAGGCCGTCCGTATACGCCAAAGTCGGATTTTCGAGATCCAGGAAGCATTACGCCAATTGTGGATTACACCGGCCGTGGTGATGATCCACCAAGAGGTCGAAACGCTCCCGACGCGCCCGAAACAGTTGTACGAACATGCTGCCACGTTGTATCGAGCATGTATCATCTACTCACATACATCCATGTGGCCTGGCCAACGACTCGAAACATCTCCAGACTACGACACGGAAATTGCAGTAGCTTCCAGTCAGATTCTGCAAATGGCCAGCAAGGCGCTCGCGGAAGACCGATCATACTGTCGATATCTCGTATTCCCTGTGTTTATGGCCGGCTTCGTCGCGACAGATGGGGCGCATCGAATGCACGCGGTGGACCTGCTGCGCGAGATGGAGAAAAGTAGCATCGGCCGCAATACAATGACCACGCGCAAGGCTCTGGCGGCGGTATACGAAAAACAAAATGAGCGATTCATGAATACCGGACAGAGTCTTGATGTGGATTGGATGCACGTGATGGTCCAAGAGGGTCTCCTGGTTGTAAACTTTGGGCTTTGATATACCCCCGGAGGAGGAGAGTTTGCTCGCCTTTGCACAGTGCTCATGTATTCCCTTTGGTGACGACGAACAAAGCGCGGAGTTGGGAGCATTTTGTGCGGAGATGACCACAGATGTTGTGGAGAAGCAGCGAAGACAGCGAGGACAGTTAAGCGACTTTCATTGTCGATACGCCTTGACATACTCCGTCCTTGTCTACTTGCGCAAATCCATGTGAAGCTAGCGCCTGCCTTCGATCTCCATCCTTGACGGGCTTCGCCATTCGCCTCTTCCAGACTTCTTGCCGAGGAGACTTTCGAAGACCCAGAAGCATAGAATTTCAAGCGAAAAGGAAAGTGAAGCGTTCACCTGTTTGGTCTTGACCAGGATCAGCGAGAGCGATCTAAGATCCAACGAGAAGCGGCGGACAGGTTTGGATCCAAGGAGTTCAGCAGCTTCTTGAAAGAGAAAAAAAACCAGGCTTGACACTCTTGCATGCGGACGCAGGATTCGCTAGCGTCAGTCGATGTGATTCGTGGGCGTTAGACGTCGAGGGTGGGTGGAGAGGTGCGTAGCGTCCATACCTTGGCGTCCATTAAAACTCTAACCCACACCACTGTTACGAGTAACAAGTGCCTGCGAGGTATGTGCTCCCGTAAATACTCCGTGCATACATATGTAGGTACCTTGCGCAGCTGAGCTTTCGGGGCCTGCGAAGTCTGTATGCAGCATGCAGATTTGGCCGTCAGGACCA